TTAATCTGAAATAATCAATGTGGAGATCTACTGTACTCCAATGCACTGTACTCAGCATAAAGCGTGAACAATATCCGGATTTTCAACATCAATGTCAGTCAAGTCAGTTAGTGCTTCTATATGATGTTTGAGAGACTTGGCGTGTTAAGAAAAGTATTTCCAACAAACTACACACATCAATCAACAGCTGCCACCTAAGCTCACTCAATGCTGACACTGAAGATCAGATGGCCAGAACACAAAGAATAAGCAAAGAGGAACTCTGGGTGGTTGGCAACGAACCAACCAACTAACCAACAACCTATCGCCCAACAGATATGCAGAAAAAAGCGGCAATGGATTGGACATTTACTGAGAAGGCCATTCAGGGACATCACGTGTCAGGCCAGGACAAATTGTAGAATGGAAGCGAAATGGGAAACGATGAGTTGGGCGTCCCAGGGTGATATGGAGATCTTGTGAGGAAGAAATGAGAGGTTATGGGTAGTTGTGGAGCCAGGTTCAAAAGACTGAAGAGAAGAGAGTGAAATGGCGGCATGATGCTGCTGCTGCCGCTGAAGCCCTACGTTCCACTAGGAACCCAAGGGAAGAAAATAAAATAAATTACTGATTTCAAGATAACACAACAGCATATTAATGATGAGGTAAGTAGGATTACAAATCTACTCATATGTTTTTTGATAGTAGTAAGAACCCTACGCATTGGCTTACAAACAACCGACTTTAAATAAAATGCGTTTCTAGTTTAAACTTCACGTTATCTGTTTCAGTTTCAACAACCAGGTAGAGTACACCATGAAGTCTAACACACGAATTGAGGCTGGAAGGTAGAATTATATGTCTGAATTGTAACAGATCAAATCTCATTTTGACTATCTGAGATAGCAACCGTGCTTTGGTACACTCGTATTAATATTGGGTGATGTTTGAAGGGTAAGATGAAAATTTGGGCCGTGGCCGGACTCGAACAAGCGACTACTGGCTTTCAAACCCCATGCTCTACCAACTGAGAAGTCCTGACTAGACAGCAACCAGTGTGAATACGATCAGGTGGTAGTAACGCATCAAGAATTCATAAGGTGATTGAAGTGAAATTCAGATCTGGTCAGTAATCAGATCTCGTAGCTCAGTTGGTGGAGCATTGAGTCGGAAACACGATGGTCGGTGGATCGAATACGGCCGCAGCCCAAATTTTCATTTCACATTCAATCATTACCCAATATCAAATTTCAATCGTTAAAAAATGTTTTCAAAGAATCATAGTGACTACCTTGAAATTGCTTATGTTGGCGATAAGCTTAAAAACATGTACAAAGTAAAAGTATTTTTATAGATTTCGAAGTATGTTAAATGACACAAGCTTCCATAACATCCACTACACAACATGAAACGAGTAAAAGTGGAAGGAACAGACAGACTATTTTCACAGATATTCAGGGATGATGGTAGAGGATTTTTAGTCAAATCAACTGAAGTCCTATCAATTGTATAGAAACTGGATATGATCGCCTAGGACTAGTTTGAATCACTTATTACTCCCAATGTCAAGAAAGGTGAAAAGTTCCCCTGTGATTATCACAGGGGAATCAACCTGACGAAAATAGTGTCTAAGATTGTAGGTTCAATCATTATTAGACACCTCAGTGATGAAGCTCATGAAGTGCAAATCACGAAAACCAGGGTTTTCATCACGGATTTTTTTGTGGTGGAATCATCGTCTAAGCAGTGTCTAGCTCAGGCGAAGGGTACCAGAGAAGACAGGTAAGTCGATTGATAAGGTTATAAACCTTAATTAACTGAGATACCTTGAACATGAACTGCGCCAGCTATCTCAATGTTGCGTTTTAGGGGGAGTTGGATTAGCTTGGAGAGGGTCCAGGGTGGCCAGACGAAGACGTGGCACCAGTCGATGAAGTCTCTGACCGTTCACACAAGCGATGAAGGGCGATGCAGACTACCTAACTGGGGTTCCCATATGAATCATTGATTCGGGACTCTTGGTGAGACGGGTGAAGATTGGTGACAATAGCACAGATGTATGCACTCTTTCACGCACTAACGGTTATCTTCAGACTGTTGATTCTCTCATACAACTTTGTCTACTTCCATATCCACCTGTTCTTTGTTTGCTACTGTGAAGTGTGGCAAGTTGAACCGATGCATCTGTGTTTGTGGTTATACGTTTCTTCTGTCAATCAGTCAGTCTCCTTCAGCTATTGGAACACAAGCACACTGATTGGGACATAACACTAGCTGTATTTGTCGACTTTAAGACAACATTCGACTCCATCATTCGAGATGTCTTATGCAGTTGGTGTTCGAAAAGTGGTTAATGTCAACTGCTTGTCTGAGTGCGTTGACTACTTCACTCACCTGAGAAGTTATATCAACCTGACAACCGACAAAATTTCTGCACCGATACAAATAGCTAGCTTGGTTTTCGCCGACTTACACCACTTATGTCCCCGATGTGGTACACATCATTGCCTATAAAGGCTCGAGTATACTGTGTTGTCTTTCGCTCTCTCCCACCATATGACTGCGAAACATGGGCAGAGGACATGAAAAGACCTCAATTATCATCACTATTGCATCACACAATGTCAGCTGAAGTAGGTTTAGACTGGAAAAATGTCAAAGGCCAGGAGAATAAGAAATAACATCAGTTAATGAAATCCTTTGACAGTCGATCTTAATCCATCCTACCAACACAAAACTAACTACCACTTTGACCACTTTCTCCCTTATTTCTCTACCTCTCATTTAGATACCTTCTACCTTGATGTGATGAAATATGATGAAGTATGGAAACGCGGACTCTTGCATAATAGTACCAACGGTAGCTAACTGACTGATTGATTGAATGAATGATACTATTTAGCTTATGTACAGTTAAAAGAAATCAGGTGAAATGCACCAGCATCAAGTATGAACACAAAAATTGATAAGTTTTAGCTTGTTTCCTACCGACAGTGTACCTTCAATCAAGAAATCAGCGGTTTGCACTGGACACACACACAAAAGGTATGATCAACAACATTTTTCCACTGAAACTTCTATGACGTCAATACCAATGAGACAATAGTTACGATGCATGTTTCACAGGTATAAATTACTCTAGTGATGCGATAACTAAAGCTTACTGAAGAAGTTATGACATTCATATACAGTAGTGAATAATGTAACCTCTAAAGCAGGTGTTCATGAAGTGTGATCTATATACCCTAAATGTTATTAAAAGGCGGGAAATGAATCAAGCCTACTCAGTAACCTTGTACACGTTTGTGTATTAGGCAATGAGTTACACCTATTATGATAGCTAATGATACTACCTGGCTACCGAGACCTTGGTAGGAGAGCTGGGTTTGAATCTATGACTTATCAGTTGAGATTCAAGTATCTAAAACAATCTAATCACAGCTCCAGGCAATATGGTATGATAGTTAGTTACACCTCACACCAAGCAACTCATGATGCATTAGGTGCCTAGTAGAGATGCTGACATCAGCTTGACTTGTTGTAAAGCTATGTAATGAGTGTGACAAAGTATTCATTAAAATATCCAAAGAAGTTAAGGAACTTCGGATGTGGTTGCCAGCTAACAGATATTCCAGTTGATCGTCAATGGTACTTAATATCATGTTGTCTAGTTGTCGGTAATGAATGAAGTTCAATTGTAAATAAGTACAAATCTAATGGCTCAACGGTAACGTAGAAATGGAAGATCCAATTTCACATGTATGAATGAAGAATATGGTTCCCATTGGAGCTTGGGAACACGCTAAGTTATAACTATTAAATGAGATCATCAGTGAACTAGGTGATTAGACACTATTGTTCTAAATGCAAACAAGGCAATCAGCTGTAAGTTCTAGAAAAAATCGTGTACACAACTGCAAATTTTACGTTGACTATCTTTGACAAAAATATCAAAATTGAGATCCATTCAGCAACCTTGTGACCTCGCCTGGTTAACTAGTTCACTAGTTACTAGACGGTCCTAAGCCCGGGTAAAGAGGGAAGGTTGAGCATACGACCAGCAACTCTACCCCGTAAAACAAATCCAATCGCTACAGAAACTTTAAAGCACAAAGAAATTGTAAAAAATAAAAACAAACTTATTCCTCGCTGGAATTAAGAAAGACGAAATGACGCCAGTTGGTGAAGGCCTTCAGGAAGCCAATTCGCTGATGTGTCTTCGCCTCTCTCAATGAGAGCGAAAGTAAGGATGGGAACATGGAATGTTTGCACCATGTATGAAACTGCCAAGGCTGCCCAGATTGCAAAAGATGAGGAGGTATGGCATAGAAGTGGACTCTCTAAACTCTTAACTGGAGAGTCAATAATCTACTCCGGTCACCCGGACAACAACCACGGACGAGCACACTGAGTTTTCGAGTGGCTATCATGACGTCTCCAAGAACATCGATGGCTCTCATGCAATAGGAACCAGTCTCCTCCAGGATCATGACAGCAATATTCAACTCAAAAGGAAAGAAAGTCACAATCATTCAATGTTACGCGCCAACAGATAATGCAGATCAAGAGAAGAAGCAGTAAACAATAAGTCATGCTTGTTACGTAATAGTTAATTGTACTACTTAGGTGGAGCGGTGTTCGAACCTACAACGTACTGGTTGGAAGGCAACTCCCAAAATCAATGACCCATTTCATTTTTATCAGTATGAAATGAGTATAGAACGTGAAATTGCCAAATTGAAGATATTCCATAACTTTCTGTGTTAGATGATTCCTATCTCCATGAATTGCTGATATTCAGCAGCAATCAAATAAAGGAGAACAGTAATGTAGATGAGTCAAGCAAGTCAGCGCTGTTCACTGAGATGGAAAGAATTATTGCATAGCGTTTTTTCTAGGACAGTTAGAATAATTCCTACATTATTTTCCTTGTTCACAACTGCCTACTTAAGTAGTATATACTATGTTATACAAAAAATTGTCCCAGTAGAGTTTATTTTCAAAAAAATTGAATTACTTACCACTTAATACACGTAAAACTCCATGTGCTGTATTCTTATTCACCTCACTATCCGTATTAAGAGATGATTGTTGAATTAATTCAATCATTTGGTTGAATAAATTTGGCCACATCTCTGGCCAATCATGTTGAGCGATCAGAGTTATTATATGAGCAGCTGTTGTACGAAGTAGTCGATGTGGTGTAGATAATAACTGTAATATTGTTGATCGAATGAATGGCTTGACCTTAGGATAAATATAATAATAAATAAAACGGATTAGACACCGAACTTGTAATACATAGTTTGAACACACGTAATATTGAGGCATCCACACACGAGCCCGTATGCAAACAGAGACCGATTAATTCGGTCCAATGAACGACGCTATAATATAAAACCAACTACTCTGAAACTATACCCATGATATTCCTGATTGTGGTAAACTGGATCTTACAAAAAACTGTGAGGATCAAGAAGAGGGGGATACGCTGACTGGACCGGAGAAAAGATCCTAGGTTTCGATTTCCCCGATTGATGACCTGTCTCTAATATCACACAAACTTGAACATCTATAGGCAAAATCCAACAAGTTGACAGAAGAGGTAGAGCAGCCAAGACAGCACTTCAACTGAATGTAGAGAAGACAGAGGTCATGATGATATCCAACCAACGCCACCACCACCATGAACAACAACAACAAGCTACAATCACGATCAACGGGAGGAACTTAAAGGAAGTAGCCTCTTCCACCTATCCATGCAGCATCGTTTCAACTACAGTCAGCAAAGGCACAGACGAGGATATCAAAGCAGCCAGGATTGGAAAGACACCAAGACAGGCGTTCATTAACCTGAAACCAGTGTGCAGATCTACTGCACTCCACTCCACTCAGCATAAAGCGTGAACAACATCCACATTTTCAACACTAATTTAGTCAAGTCAGTGTTGCTTTGTGATAGTTCAGAAACACTGGCGCGTTACGAAAAGCATTTCCAACAAACTACAGATATTCATCAACAACTGCCACCTACGCTGACTCCTTACTGAAACTCAGATGGCTAGAATAATAAGAATAAGCAACAAGGAACTCTGACTAGCTAGTGACAAACCAATGAAGCAAGAACCTATCACCCAACAAATATGCAGTAGAAGGAAGTGGAGATGGATTGGATTGGATTGGATTTGGCATACACTGAGAAGGCCGACGGGGACATCACGCACCATGCCAAGCACTCGAGTGGAACCCAGATGGGAAACGACGAGTTGGACGTCCCAGTTGAGGTGACATGGAGGAGATTGTGTGTGAGGAGGAAATGAAAGCTTGTGAGCAGTGGTAGAGTCAGGTTGAAAAAACTACGGAGAACAGAGTACAGTGGCGAAGTGCTACTGAGGCCGTATGTTCCACTAGGAACCCAGAGGACAAATAATAAAAATAATAATATACCCGTCGCACAAAAAGTGGCTATCGTGGCTCGGTTGTGTTGCAGATAACGTTCTGGCGTTTGAAGTGATCGCTCCCGAGTTCGAACCTCGATGGGAACAACATCACTCAGTGGTAAGTAGGTACATCCAGTTGACGAGTTCCAAATAGGACGATATGAGAATCATGGATTCCACTGCTAGCCGCTATCCATCATTAAAAAATAACAACGTTTATACAATTTACCAGCAAATAGAAGATGGAGAAATATTAGAAAAAAAGGGCAAAGTTGTACACATCACTACGATTTGTTACAGTTCCCTTCATGATAACTAAGCGATAAATATGTTATTTTTCAATGTTAACATCTAGAAACTTCTCTTTAGTGTTACTTTTAACATTCCTGCTAACATTATACGTAAGGTAGACAATAGTTACATGTACTCGAACCACTTCACTGGATAAACGTTGATAAATTCATCAATTTGCATACCTTCCTCATCTAGAGCTCTACTGCACATAAGAAGTACTTTGAAGGTAATAAGTGAATAATACTTGACGCACTTATGCATTCAATTAGGAAGTTTTTAGGCATTCATTGATATCATAGTAGTATTCAACATGAACTGATGTCAATTGAAGAACACCAAGGCAGTGCACATCTGCAATATCACCAGGGATTGAACCTGGTACAGACATCACCACTAACAAAACGTAACAAATCACATAAAAACTACATCGTATAGCCTTTTCACGACGCCTCAACTTCATTACTGTCTCTCACCATAGTAATTAATATCATACCTCTCTATGCTCCATATGACGAGATATTATCACTCGAAAAATGTACACTACCTATAACACCCCTCAAACAATAAACAAGCACTCACACACACATATATCACGAGAATAATATCACCACCGAACATACACCCGACGGACACCATCAGTAAACAGTAACCAACCAATCAAATTCTATGCAAAATCGTTCGCCTTATTATGCACATACTCGTGGCAGATACGTTACCATGCATCCAGTGAGTTACAATCCACTGATCTACATCTTTCTTCTTGAGTAAAGTTCACGATATATGTCCTTATACTTCATCTACTTTATAGCTCAGGTCACAGCTTCCAGTCCTCACACTACAATGAAACAGGTATACACCTATACTCCCAGGTACTCCAAATGATTTCATTAGATGACTGACAGACAGACAGGCAGTCATGTTTCATAGCTATAATCTACTAAACACTCTACTCTACTTCTGACAGACACCCATGCACTTTGCTTGCTTGTAAAACTTCAAAGAAACTGTTAAGTAACGATCGCCACGTTTCATCGATCACTAACCTGAACTGGCTAATGTGAACTCATTGATGAAAGCAAAATTATGGAAGGAAAATTAACGGGTTTTTCAAAAGAAGTTGAAGTCGTTCAAGTTGATATTCCTTATGGATCGAAAACAATTGGAAAAACATTGGAAACCTGCGAGCAACGGATGTCTGTTTCGTCCTACCCCCCAGCCCCCTCACGATCGAACCCAGGACGTTCAGGCTCCACGGCCAGCAAGTCACCACTGAGAAACTGGGTCGGGGGAATCCAATAGTCTATATTTGTCAGTTCACGAAACAGCGTGACAATCACTCAATGTTATCGTTGAGTATTTCTCTTCACGTTCACTCTGCTTGCCCCATAGGTCACGAAGCTAGTCACCAATGAGCTCTAGAATAATTCAATTTCGGAAGGTTTGTGGGGATCTTTTGATACCAGGTTGGTATTCACCATGGACTGGAGGACTGGATAGTTGTTTCGTCTCAGTATAGGACTCCTCAGCAGCGCGCACTAATGACCCCGTCAAGGATCGAGACCAGAGCCTTCGGGTTCTGCGGCCAACAAATTACCATTGAGTGACGAAACCATCTAAATACTGTAAATGTTGTTTTTCCGTTACACACACACGCACACACACTTATATATATATATATATATATATATATATATATAGAGAGAGAGAGAGAGAGAGAGAGAGAGAGAGAGAAATCTTCCAAAAAGACATAGAATTGGGTATATAAGAAGATCCTTTGTCGATAAATCTTCATATGAAGAAGAGTTAAGCTGAACGGTGTATTAGTGAAGATGAAATTCATACTGGAACAACAACATACACTTCGGCATTAGGAATATGCCATCTAAAAGATAAACTTTCATTAACTATTCCGCCGTTTGCCATCTATCGACAACTATCTTACCCTTCATAATGTATAAACTGTGGAATCCAGGACGCACGTTCCGTCTTATTCAGAACTTGCTCCTGATGGAGTGGATGTACTTGCCTCCCAGTGATCGATTTTATTACCACTAGGGCTCGAACCTGTGACCGATCAGTCCAAACGCTTCTTTATAACCTTCAGAATATTTTACACTTATGAATAATAAATTTATGCGTTTCTTCAAAATTAAAAAAAACTACAATTTCCCATAATGATAATGTCAATAGAGATGATGATAGACTAAATCAAAGTTTGGTTGTTAAGCTAAACAAAACGAGGTTAAGCTTGACTCACTTCATCACTTGTTTGTGGTGATTTAAATGATAGACAAGAAGATTCACTCCAATGTGAAGCGATATAATTCTTCAATGTAATCCCTGCTAACTGACGTAATTCAATACACAACTGTTCATCGAAAAATATATTCATCAATTTAACAGGATAGACTGAAAGAGAAAGTAATACAAAAGTTAAAAAAGAATTACACTACAATAAGGTAATAATTTATTGTTATTATTTGTCCTCTAGGTTCCTAATGGAACATACGGCCTCAGTAGCACCCCTCCATTCCACTCTGTTCTCTGAATACTTTTGAACCTGGCTCCACGACAGCCCACAAACTCTCATTTCCTCCTCACACACAATCTCCTCCATGTCACCCTCAACTGGGACGTCCAACTCGTCGTTTCCCATCTGGGTTCCACTCGAGTGCTTGGCATGGTGCGTGATGTCCCCCGTCGGCCTTCTCAGTGTATGCCAAATCCAATCCAATCCAATCCATCTCCACTTCCTTCTACTGCATATTTGTTGGGTGATAGGTTCTTGCTTCATTGGTTTGTCACTAGCTAGTCAGAGTTCCTTGTTGCTTATTCTTATTATTCTAGCCATCTGAGTTTCAGTAAGGAGTCAGCGTAGGTGGCAGTTGTTGATGAATATCTGTAGTTTGTTGGAAATGCTTTTCGTAACGCGCCAGTGTTTCTGAACTATCACAAAGCAACACTGACTTGACTGAATTAGTGTTGAAAATCTGGATGTTGGTGGGCTGTCGTGGAGCCAGGTTCAAAAGTTTTCAGAGAACAGAGTGCACTGGAGATATGCTACTGAAGGGACAAATAATATGAAATAATATTAAAAATTTTGTAGACTTTCAGCATTTTTGGATCTATTTTGTAAGAAACAATCATTCTTTCTATCGACTATTATTTATACTCTTGCAATTGAAGGTTAATTTGTATTGGCTTGATGGTTCTAAGTTCTCAATCCAACCCACCATATGAGCAGAGTATATAAGATATTGCTATAAAAAATTTTTCACAACCAAATTTTGTCAATATTGAACTTAGATCAAATAACAAGATGAAACAATCTCATCTTTATTTATGTGAATGTGTGAAAAGTTCAAACAAAAAATCACACTAACCTTCAAGAACTTCGAGTGCAGTTAAACTCTCCTCAGCTGTCTGTCGATCACCATTTTCAACTCCAAGAACAATAGAGAAGGCAGATAGAATAGCTTGAGTTGGTGCATCCATGAAAAATCTGTAAAAATTAATTTTTAAGAAGGTAACAATAGACACACTTATAATACTAAAATTAGAAAACTTATTCTTAATGTGGACACGGTAACACATGTCTATAAATTCCAAACAGCCAAACTTCGTATATCTACTACTCAACCCTACAAACAGTTGATCACAACTAACCGAAACTCACTCAGTAACCATGTATACGTTTGTGTAACTGTATCAATGAGCCACACCTATTGCATAAGAGCTATTGATGACATAACTACCTGGATGGTTGCCCAAACCTCGATAGGTCGATCGGGATTCGAACCCATGACCCAGTGTTTGAAAGTAATCTCCTTAAACGAATGAGTCACAGGTTCATACTAATTGACCTAAGAGGTTGATGCGGTTGTGAACCTACATCAACTGACATGTCTAGGACATATGTTGCCTATGCCTAATTAACATAGGATCACTGCATGAAGTCCTTGACTGTTCCTTTGAGCCATGCAGAGTGATGCAGACTAGCCAGTGGGGATCAGCGGATCAGTCTCCTTCCTTCTTGACCTTCCATTTTCTGGATTTGTCACTTAATGAGTCGAAGTCATCATCATCAATGTCAACATAGGACTAGGCATTACTGCGTAACGGTCCCACTTGCCACACCTCACGTCAGTTCATCAAGTGAAAAGGCAGTGAAGTGAAGGATAAAGAGAAGTGAATGTAGTGAAAAGAAATATAAAGTACAAGAATAAAGAAAGGATGAATGAGAAAATGGTGACATTCGGTATAGTGTAGTTAAGATGAGGATAACGTGTGTATACATCTGCGCCACTGACATCGGTTCTCAGCCATATCACCTAGAGTCTCCAACCACTGGTTCCTCTTGTCCCACCGACCCCAACCACCTAGTCTGCATCACCCCGCATGGCTCAAATGAACAGTCAGAGACTTCATACATTGGTGCCATGTTTTAGTCTGGTCGGCTGTTTTCTGCCCTTTTCCAGCCTGGACTTACTTCGGTCAACATTGTGTGACGAGGCAATCGGTGACTAGGCATATGTAACACGTGTCCCAACCATCTCTTTTGATGAAGGTTCATAACCTCGTCAACTGACTTACCTCTACTCCCTAAAACTCTACACCTGACTTCTGCATTACTCACGTGGAGACACCATGGAATACGTCCTATACTACGAAGGCAATGGTGGTCAAACACCTGAAGCCTTTTTATATCTTCCACCTTCAATAACCATGTTTCACAGTCATAGAGTAGAACAGAGCGGACTGCTGTGCAGTACACTCAACCCTTAATAGACAAGTGGATATTACGGCGGGTGGTGCAAATTGGCAAAAGCCAATCGAGCCTTTTGTATCCATGCAGAGATTTCATCGGCAACTGACTCACCAGGACTGATCCTACTTCCCAGGTAAGTGAAGTGGTCAACACACTCAACCACTTCACTCTCTATTGTTAGATGCGTTGAAGTGAGATGTATCAACTTGGATCGTTACGCAGTAATGTCTGATCTTATGCTGATCTTGATGATGATGAAATTCAATCGAGAAAGAACAATGATAAACTTTGGATAACATGATGCTATTTTCACATCATTAGTTTCTCGTGTTCACAATACAAGATACATCATAAAAGGTTTCAGTTATACATGGCATTCAACAGAGAGTTCAAGAAAAGCAATATGGATATGAACAATAACAAAGTCTTCTTGGTACTTGGAACACAAAAAAAAGAGGAGATAAACAATTAAGGTTAGTTGATGATGAATAATAATCAAGTTATGTAAAATGAATTCAACACAGTGAGTAAAATGATTATCAACATTTTGTATAAACAGAAATAGATTCAATGAGAGAAGGACATATCTCAGAATCATTGAACAAGTACTGAAAACCCTAAGTCGTAGAGAAACATCCCTCAAGGTAATCAGAAAAAAAAAACCCAGCATAATTTGAACCTTCTGACATTCTCTAAAGCCATAGCGATCAAATGAATAAAACCCGATGATGATGATGATATCATCGTTTGACTGATCCGATTATTTCGGTTTGTATAAACATTTTGACGATTGTTTCATCAGTTGAGTTGAATTCATTTTCATACGCAGCTAATCAACTTGTCAATCTTTTTGTTACGTAACCTCTATACATTGAGTTACATATATCATTGAAACTCGTTATAATGTCTTGATTACTTTATTTTAAGTGTTTGTATTCCTTATTTAAGCTATATTGTTTCTTGTCAACCAATTTCATTGAATTGCAAACAATTATGTTCAAATTTTTCAGGTAAAAGAATATTTTAATGCTTTAAATGTTACGAACGGATGATGAATAATCAATCAGTGAAATAGAATAGCATTATGTTACTATTGAACGCGTTAACCAGACTTCTTTCACTAGTCCCGTTAAACATACTAAATAAGCGCTAGTCACCGGAGATAACCAATCACATGTTATCATCACTCTGTGTATAACTGAATACAAAAAGGATATAAATGTAACAGCATATGATTAGTCTTTGAAATACTTCAACGTCTACCGACTTTTCTTCTATGTGAAAATTGTACTAACTGCTTAAAGTGAAGCAAAGAAAAGATATCACTACTTGTTGGTACTTGTTATTATTATTAGTCCCTTGGGTTCCTAGTGGAACATAGGGCTTCAGTAGCACGTCTCCAGTGACCTCTGTTCTCTGAGATCTTTTGAACCTGGTTCCACGACAGCCCACAACCTCTCATTTCTTCCTCGCACGACCTCCTCCATGTCACCCTCGGACGTCCAACTCGTCGCTTCCCATGGGGATTCCACTCGAGGGCCTTCTCAGTGCATGCCCAATCCATCTCCACTTCCTTCCACTGCATATTTGTTGCGTGATAGGTTCTTGGTTGGTTCGTTCTCAGAGCTCCTTGTTGCTTATTCTTTCTGGCTATCTGATCTGTTGGTACTTATAACTTACCATTTTTATCATTATTTTGAATAAAATTGATTAATTTCTTTTGGTACATGGGCTCCCCTATGTGGATCCCTTCATACTGCCTAGTTGTTGATTATGTTGTAATTTATAAATTACAACATAATGAATAGTCTGTATAGAGGAAGTCATATTGCAAAACAAAGAGTCGAATCAATTCGCTCCAGTTAAACAACGTAAAGTTACAATAAATAGTCATAACTAATACCCATTGTACAAGATGTGACTATTATGCTTCAATAGTGTAGTGGATAACGCTCTGATATTTGAAGCCTCATTAGGAATAACGTCATTCACTAAGAGAAGGGGAGTGGACAGATATATCCAGTTGACGAGTGCAATATAGGACGAAATTCACGTCTTAGATTTTAACTGTTAGCCGCCAACACGTAAATTACAGAATTACAAAAATATACGCTGAAAATGCTCAATAACAAAGTTATGGAACTATCAATCACAACATTCAATTAGTTGATTACAATTCAGTGTGAACTAAATTGTAATTAAGCAAATTTGGCAACACACAATCTGTACATGTAGATATGCAGTGGATTACAATATGTGGATTAACTTGATCCAAGTTAAGAGTTTGGAAAACTAAGCGATAGCTAATCATGAACAAATGAATACTCTTTGCTCATTCAGACTATCACAGATCGACTCAATTCACAGGAGTTCAACTAATTTCATGCTGTCTGGTGCAAACCGAATCCTAATGGATCATATTTACAATGTGGCCACCAAGTTAGGAGGTTCCGCATCGTCACATTGCAAATATGATCGATAGAATTCGGTCTGCACTCAGAACTAGACAACATGAAATCGGTTGCACTCCCGTGACCAATCAATACATGTAAGCCAGTCCTACAGGAGGTCAATCGATACCCAAATAAGTCAGTGGTAAAGACATTGACTACAACACTGCGTGTCACGGGTTCAAGTCTCAGGTGGGACATAAGTTCCATCAAGGTTGTTGATACACCTTTCTGATGAGTCCCAACAAGCACGAAACGTAGGTCCAGGGTTCCTGCTGATTACCTCCAACCAAATAAAATAGACTCAATTCGCACAATAATCTGCCTATGTATATATACATAGACGCTGACTAGTGAGTGAAATTCCAAAGAAAATCTGGTTGATAGCCGATTTTTCGTTTCTGGTCTCATATTACAAAGTTTACTAACATTCAGATAGCAGGATTAGGTTTATCATCAGTTTTCAGGTTTAGATTCACCATAGACTGACATGAATTGGAGAAACATTGGAAACGTGAAAGCACTGGAGAGCTGTTTTGTGATAGTATGTGACTCCTCAGCAGTAGTCACCCAGGACCTTCAGGTTCTGGGGCCCGCATGTTACCATTAACTCATTGATGACTAGCTTCGAGAGGTGATTCCCGAAGTTCCAACGAGAAGTCATGACCCGGGCGGCCAACCAAGTCGAACAGTTACTCAATGACAGCATTGGATGTAGGTCGCACTATATAGTGAAATGATAGCAGTAAAAATTATGAATTGCTGGATTCCGACAAATCGGCTCTTAGGTAACCTGTTGGTCGCAGTAAGGTCATAGGTGAGCACTGCTGAGGAGTCGCACACAAGGACGAAACAGCTATCCAGTGCTCCCAGGTTTCTAATGCTCCTCCAACTAATACCAAACCTCTAAGGCAAACGGAAGTAGCAGCTTTAAAACATACAAAGAGATCCAGACTACGTTACCAATAAACTGCAATGGATAATTATTGATTCATTCATTATTATTACTTTGTCCCTTGGGTTCGTAATGGAATTCAGGGTTTCAGCAGCAAGTCGCCACTGCAATCTCTTCTCTCCAGTCTTTTTTTGAACTTTGATCCCCGACTTCCCAGAAGCTTTCACCTCTCCGTTAAACGATCTCCTTTATGTCACCTTCGCACCCCCAACTCATCGTTTCCCCTTTGGGTTCCACTCGAGGGCCTGATGCGTGATATCCCCAAATGGTCTTTTCAGTCTATGCCCAGTCCTACCCATCTCCACTCTCTTCTTCTGCATATTTGTCGGGTGATGGGTTCCTAGTTGGTTTGTTGATAGACCAAAGTTTCTCCTTGATTATTCTGATTATTCTCGCCATCTGATCTCCATCTCCAGTATCGAGTGAGTGTAGGCAGCAGCTGTTGATGTGAAGCATGTCTGCAGTTTGTTGGAAATGCTTTTCGTAAGGCACCAAGCCTCTTAACCATCACACAGAAGTACTGCCTTACTTGAAAATCCGGATATTGTTCACGTTTTATGATGAGTGCAGCGCAGTTGATCTCCACACTAATTTGCTATCTTTCCAATCATGGCTGTTTTGACATCATTATCTGTGCCTGTGCTGCCCACAGTTAAAACGATACCATTTCATTTATGGTGATTGGTGCTTCGTGTTGTTGTTGATTAGGTATCTTCATCACCTCTGTCTTCTCTATATTCACGTGAAGGAAGTCCTGTCTTCCTTCGGTACCTGGCTTCACCTCACCTCCTCTCTTCTCCCAAACTTATTCATTTACACCAGTAGAACTTCCAGCTTGTACAACATTAAACATAAATCATCATCGCCAGCGAAATGTAAATCTTCTTCTAAGGTATGGTAGTATGCGACAACATCTTGTGCTACTCTTGTTTTCACTTTAAAGTCATCAAAATCATTCATTCATGCATACATACATACATACAATTAAACAATTGAATAAACAGTAGGAATTCAGGTGAAACAAAGTAAATTTTTATTTATTTAAAGGAATCCTTAACAATTTATACAAATTCACTACAATATAATACAAACATTTTGTAGGTATATATACAAAGTAGACTTAATTATGAATAATAATAATAATAATAGTAGTAATAATAATAATAATAGAGGAAGGGTGAACAATACTGAAGGTATGACATTTATTGGATTGACTATAGAACACAATTTAAGTCTAATCCAGGTTGAATAGGATTTGTATTCAATTCATTAGTTAAAGGATTATTACATAATTGTGATTCATTTAAAAATATATTTAATAATTGTTGAGAATAAATATTAATTAATTGGTATAAATCATTGCTTAATTCATTAATTGTTGTATAACGTAAACCAATTTTTTGTCGATAATTAATTAATTGATTATCTAACTCATCCATTTTATATACTAATGTTGGTCCAGATTCTGATAGTGTATCATCAATATTATTATTATTATCTTGATTATTTGAAGAGATTGTAGAGTTTGCCACTTCTTTATTTAAAGAATAATTAACTAGACAACTATTGACTTTATGATGATCTTCATCAATATCATATTGTTTTCCATTAGTACAGATGAATGAACATTGATTTGAATCATCATAAGAGATAAATAATTCACGTATAAATGATAAGATAATTTCACGAAAATGATCACATAGATTAAAATAGGCTTCATTTGATCCTAAATAACCCCATGCTAAACCAGGTAATAATGTTCCAATCATACTATAATAATAAGCATAAAAACCATTTGGATATTTTAACATTTTACGCTTTGTTAAAAGGATAGTCCATACAGTTGAATCTAATGCACAACGTTTAAAATTATCACTTAACCATTTATGTCGAGTAACAGATAATATTGATTGTGGTGGATTAGATAATAATTGAAATCCTTCTAATAACATCATATCAATTACTATATCATAGAAGTTAATAACTTTTACACCTTTAGCATATAATTCTTCATACATTATATTATTTGATTGATTACGATTTGTTCTAATGAAATCCATAAGACGCCTGTAAAAAAAAAAAGACAAAATGATCATATACTACAAGTAGCATTCATCATAGACTACTGACATCAGTTGGGGAACCATTGAAAATCTGACAGCACTGGACAGCTGTTTCATCCTAGTATAAAACTCCTCAGATGTATGCATCCACTACCCAGTTAGGGGTGGAACTCAAGAGCTTCTGTCAATTCATGACATAGCGCGACTATCACCCGAAGTTTTTAGTTAGCATACACTTCACTTCGGACTGGTTGACCTTACAGGTCTATTGAAAATTGAACACGAAATAACAATACAGTAATATTGATCATGATAATTGATAATGATTGTGGATAGTTGTTAATAGTAGACTTCGTAGACTGACATTAGTTGGAGGAACAAAGGAAACTTGGGAGTACTGGACAGCCAACTGTTTCATCCTAGTATGGGACCCCTCAGCAGTGTGCACCCACGACCCCGAGACCTTCAGGGATTGAACCTGTGACCTCCCTCAGAATTCAATTGAACTGGTGCTCATTGGTGACTACCTTCGAGACGTATTCCCCAAGTTACAATGAGAAGTCGTGACCGGTGGGGGCAAAGCCTGCTGGTCGTGAGGACAGTTACTCAACGATGTCATTGGGTGGCGATTGGGCTATATTGTGAGCTGACAGAAGTTGGAAATATGGAGCATTGGATTCTGACCCATTGGCTCAATGGTAACGAGCTGGCCAGAAAACCTGAAGGTCACGGGTCCGATCCCTGGCGAGGTCGTGGGTGCGCACTGCTGAAGAGTCCCATACTACGACGAAACAGCTGTCTAGTGCTCCCAGGTTTCCTTTCTTCCTCCAACTGATGTCAGTCTACGATGAATAACAACTTGAAATATTTCCAAATCCGCACAACTCCCTCAAAATTCAAAACATTGAAAATATCGAGGAAGTCGCACAGGAGTCCATATCAAAACAGTCACTCATCAATTAGATCGAATTAACGATGCAGATTTACCAGCTGTAAACACCAACTATGTTGATGTCAATAAGCCACAGATACACACATTGTTAATCAAACTATTGGAATGAGATTGTTAACTATCACAGGGTTGATATATGTGAGTTCTATTCTAACATCCCTTTCCTCCTCACATCATATGCATGCTAGGTAAGGTAGACACAGTTGAATTCTTTTAATTGACTGTAAGAGCCTACAGAATCGTTTGTAATTTACCCTTGCCCCCCTCCTCCTCTTGAGGAGATTCAAGGAGAGATGGAGCTGTGAATGAAGTGGATGCTCAGTGTCAGTTAAAATTACTATAGCTAATTGCCTTGCTGGAATTTAAATGTCTATCAACTACTACAGTGTTAATCAGTTGAGCTAGAGACACACCACTCACCCTACTGACTGATGGCTTTCAAAGCCCTACACAATATAACATAGCCCCTTTTTAGTAGACCAGAGAAGATCAACGGGGAACATCAGAGAGGAAGAATAGGTAAAATGCAGGAATTAATAAATTGTGAAAGTGAAGAGGTTGAGTTATACTAGACAGCCTCCGTTTCTTGATGTAATAAGTTAAATGAAAGATTTTCTTACAAGTCACCAGTGTACTAGACGACCAACAAAGATGAGAAGTAAAACTCAATCCAAGATAGTCAACACTCGATTTACTTTGTGCAGAAATACCATCAGTACTGTAACACGCGTCATGATAATTAAACAGCTCACATAAGTCATGTTTCCACCTGAAGCTGAAATTAATAGTCTGACATTTAGAAGAGTTAAAACTTGAGACCATCGGTCAATCCATTGGATTCAGAGCAATCTAAGCGACAGTTGATTGGAATAAACACCGTCAGGTCATCAGCATTCTGAATAAAATTACCTTCAATAGAATAAGGTAAATCGTACAAAAAGAACGAAAACAGAAAAGAAGAAAGTACAGAACCTTGAGGCATACCAGCTTCAGTATGCAATCAAGTTGAGCACTTTCCTTTATAGACAGTATACTAGATAAGATAGTGTATTCGTTATGGAAACCAATAGTGGGAAATTGATTTCCCCAACACTTTACAAAAAACAACCCTTTGATTTAAGAGTATTCAATAGAATATGCAGACATCAGCGTCATACGACCTAATACAGTTCCACATCTAACCACGTTTCTAAACTTTATTGACCTACAGAGAATGGAACTCGACAAAAAGGATCATAAACAAATGAAAATGATTCCTAAAGTGGATCGAACTGAATTGAAATGCACTCGGCATACTTATTGTATAAGAGCTAATGATACAACCCTGTCGCCTAAACCTCGGTAAGCAGAGAGCGGTGTTCGAATCCATGACTCATTAGTTGAAAGTCGAGGATCCAGAAGAAGGAGTCATTATCAATAAAACACGTTATTGTTACAGGAATGTAATAAAAGCATAGAAGGGAAGAGAAGAGAACATATTTAGCAATAAGATTTCCATTTTCTACACCACTGAGACCAATATTACATGAAGTCTCTATAAGCCTAAAGTCCTATACTATTTCCACATTTACACACAGATAGACTTCATGGATTGGTGTTCGACTCCCTATCTTAATCCTACTCCAGCATATATGGTGAGTTGATATATGTGTTGGTTACGAGTGACTAGAGTATATTCCTGAGAAATTTAGTGAAGGTAACAGTTAACATGAAGGTGTCGTTTTAAAACCAACAATTCAAAACCACATTTTTTAAATTTAGCTATTTCAAAACCCTGAACTTGAAGTAGAATTTTCCAGTTACCTCATAAAAGATATATAAATATACATTGATTCATGACTGAAGGGTAACCAACTTCGTACTGTCCAGGCCTAAGTGGTGACCGATCTTTGTGGATCATTTTGCACTGTGGCCACCAGATTAGGCAGCTAGCTCAGCATCGCGATGCACTTTGACAGACGTTATTTGGTTGAAGGCAATCGGCAAAAGGCCTCCAACTAGGTTTCATGCTTGTTGGTACTCGTCAGCAAGGTGTATCTGCAACCCAGGCAGAACTAATATCCTACGTCACCAGTGTTACCCTCCAGTGACCAGTAGATGTACCTAATCCAGTCCTATAGGAGGTCAATGGCGATCCAAATAGCTCAGTGGTAACGTCGCTGACTACAGCACACTGGGTGTCGTGGGTTCAAATCTCAGGTGGGATGTCAGTCCTGTCGCGGTTTCAGATACACCTTGCCAGCGAATGTCAACAAGAACGAAACCTAGGTCTAAGGCTTCCTGCTGATAGCCTCTATCCAACTAACATACAACTCAGCAATTTCGAACAGATTTTTCTAATAAGCTATGGAGCTATACATGATATGTGGAGGTTAGTGATATTGCTTGGGTTTATACGCGAAAGTAGACAGTGTCTTTTGAAACGTTCAGCAAATAAAACTCTTTAGTAATATGACATATCTAATGAACTAATTAAAATAGTAATGTGAAACTCCCTAAAACTGGAAAAGAAACATTATAAATCAGTAGATAAACCTTGAGTGCTGACAGAGTTGTGAGGGCGGTTGACACTTCCTGGCTGCCCACACCGTGGAAAGCTATTTCTTCTTAAGGTACCTGAAAGAGATTTGTGTGACCGCAGAGCCCATCGGACATCTGCTTGAGGCCTGTCACACCCAGCCTTTTGAGTATGATTATTTTGAACTTTTGTATTTTTGGGGCCGGATGGTCGAAAGGAAACGACAAGTGAACCAACACCGCCAGCCCGGCAGACCGTGGGGCATGGTGGAGTGTGTTATTTTTGGGGCTGACCTTTTCTAACCCCCCCCCCTTCCACTGAGAGGGCAGCATCAGCATGGCACTGCTGGTCATCCAAGGGAAACACCTTACTGCTGTCACACCCCATCCAGCTAGCAGCAGTACGACTTCGCCCTCAGACCCCCATCATAGTGTAGCAATTTACACTATAACGGTAACTGTTTTTCGTCTAACCACTATCCAACAGACCTTTTTGGTATGGTAGGACTCGAGGGAACAAGCGTTCCACCAGCATAGCTCGTTGGGTCATTGTGATATGCAAGCCTGACCACCACATCAAGGTTGCAGCTATCGGTCGGATAGCTAACGACGAATTTCTGAGAAGATACCTTTTAAAAAAGGAAGTGGAAAACTTCACCTTCATATCTATCTTTGGTGAATTGCCAACATAGCTGACAATTTTCAGTAAACGGTAAAGTATCTTTATAGATTGAAAACTACTTCATCTTCACATTGGAAACAGTGTTTACTGCCTAAATATCGATACGATTAAGAGTTAGTAAATAACAGAAGTTGGAAATATCGAGCATTGGATTCTGACCCAGTGGCTTAATGGTAACGAGCTGATGGCGGAGCCTGAAGGTCGTGGGTTCGATCCCTGGAGAGCGGGGTCGTAGGTGTGCACTGCTGAGGAGTCCCACACTGGGACGAAACAGCTGTCCAGTGCTCCCAGCTTTCCTTTGTTCCCCCAAATGATGTCAGTCTGCGATGAATAATAACTTGACATACGCTTTATATTGTTAGCGTCTATACAAATAATCCTGTCCATCACTTTCGTGTTGTACAGTTTTAATTTCAAAAATTGAATCAGGAAAAGTGGATACTCAAACTGGTTAGTACGAAAAATATCCAATCTATTATGCTGATTTGCTGACTTACACATTAAACGCAAGCCAAAGATCAGGAAATGACCAGATAAGACCAAAACAATTGGTGAATGTAAGAGTTCAGATAGTAGTAACAGCCTCCACAAAATAGATGTGGACCACTTCACTCTGTAAGGATACCAAAGACTCCATTGGCTTTTATCAACATACACTATCTATGGAGCCCGTCACATATCTGATTGCTCATGAAGAGTTGAGTGTAAAGAAGTTTTAAACCTTTATCAGTTGAGTTGGCTAGGACATGAGTTACCAATCGAAATTCAATCAGCTACCTTGTGCACATTCATGTAGTAGGCAATGAGCCACATACAGTGTGTGAGGGATGAAAATACTACCTCCGTAGGTGGGGTGGTGTTTGAACCCATGACCTGTCGGTTGGAAGTTATTTTCCTAAACCGATGAGCCACAACTCCACTGCGTAACATATGCCTAGTCACCGTCGGCTGCATTTCACTATGTTAACTGATTAAGGTTGGAAAAAGGTTTGAGGTAGTCAAACTAAAACGTTATCAACCCAGGAAGACTTTGACTGTTGATCATAGTCGTGTAGCCAGATGTAAACTTCCTGGGTGAAATACGTGTGACAACAGAAACCAGCGTATTGAGATTCTAGGTGACATGGCTCAGAATAGATCTCAGTGGTGCAGATGCATCCACACATTAACATCATCTTCATTTTCATACTGAATTTCAGTATTTTCTCATTTATTCTCGCTGTTTTTCGACAACCTATCACCTCTGAGACCGTATGTGACCGTCTTCAACCAGGTGTCCCCTTGCGATTTGTAGTCACGCAGTAACCCCTCTGCCTGATATACCTCAAGAAGAGCTAGCCTTCGACGGTGAGGGCAGCCAAGAAGTGTCAACCACCCTCACAAATCCGTCAGCACTTAAGTCCCCTCGCAACACTGTCCACCTTCCACATTCTCACATTCCACTCTCTCGTCACGTCTCTAGGTCAATAATCCTACATTACCCCCAATTTCATCCAGCTATGCAACTTTCAGAGACGTTCTGAGTTCACGAAACAGAATCACTAGTCACCGGAAACCACGCTTCAAAGCATACATTGGAGCTTTCAATATCCGTACATGCCGTCAAACCGACCAACAAGCGTCACTAGCCAAAATTATGGCAACTTGGGCCAGGGATGTGTGCTGCAATTGTGAGGAACGCTTACAGGATCTAAATGCGGGTATTCACTTAGTTTCACATAACCAATATGGAGAATCGGTAAAATTAACCCTTTGAGCATCCGGAGATATGATGGTTAGTCCTCGCAGTCTTGCAGGTGCAAGTATAGCACTAACTGTTAAGTCAGAGTGCGCTGCTCAACTGGGTCGCAGCTGACAGTCACCTAAGTGCTTCTCGACTAAACAGAGATTGACAGATCCCACAGCGGTATCTCTCACTGAAAGGAGTACCAAGCAAGTACATCACTCTCACTCTTTACTCAAACACCCATGGGGCGTGTTACAGCGTATTGTGAGTTGTCAGGTGAGTTGTGTACATCGAGTGGTGTCCGTCAAAGATGACCACTCTCTCCATTCCTGTTCAATTTCGTCAAAAACGTTCCTATGGAGGTCTCCTTCTTGTCTGACTTCATAGGGATTGATCTTAACACAGGATAATCCTTGATAGATTTAGAATACACAGATATAGTCCTACTAGGTAGAGACACTGATAAAACGCAGTCTTCTAGACATCTTGAGTGGCAATTTGAGGATGGTTGCGATGTGTTTATAGCCATCCAAATAGAAGTTGATCCAAGACTGATCTTCTGTGGCGCCTCGATTAACAATAGAGAGTGAAATAGTTGTGTGCGTTGAACACTTCATTTACCTGGGAAGTCGGTTTAGCCTTGGTGGGTCAGTGGTCGACGAAATATCTGCACAGATACAAAAAGTTCGATTAGCTTTCGCCAACTTACGCCATCTGCGGTGCCGCCACGATATCCGATTGCCCATTACGGGTGGAGTCTACTTCGTTTCAGCTCACTCTGAAACATGGTCATTAAAGGTAGAGGGCATGAAACGGCTTCTGATGTTTGACCACCGTTGCTTTCGTGGCACAGGTCGTGTGTCATGGTGTTACCACGTCAGTAACGCAAAAGTCAAGTGTAGAGTGTTACGAAGGGAACGATAGTCGGTTAGTGCGGTTTTAAACCTTCATCGACTGGCATGGCTTGGACACGCGTTAAGCATGCCTAGTCACCGTCGCGTAATGTTACCTGAAGTAGATTCAGGCTGAAAAAGGGTCGAGGAGTCCTGAATAAGACATGAAACCATTGCATGAAGTCAACGACTGTTGGTCTGAGCGGTGTATGGAGATGCAGACCGGCCGGTTAGGGTCTGTGTGACAACAGAAACTAGTGGTTGGAGACTTAAAGTGATATGGCTCAGAATCGATGTCAATGGTGCAGATGTATCCGCACATTATTATCTTAAGCGGAATACTAAATTCAGCATTTTTTCCCCTTCCTTATTCTTCTTCTTTGAACAGTAATGATACGCCTTATGGTAATGCTTTCTATCTCTGCCTCAGATGTGGATAAATCTGAACGCGAATAATAGTTTGGAATCCCTTTTTAAAGTTTATCTAGCTAAATGACGATAATAACACTATAAAATTTTACACTTACTCATAGGCTTCCTCAAAATCCGTAGTTGGATAACCAAGACAGTGTAGTAGACGACATACATTAAGTTTTCCAATTTTGATAATCCATTCAGTAGACTCAGGATGACTAAAAATGTAATCAAATGCTTGACGAAGGCAATGAACTTTGCCCAAGTATTCAATATCAAGTTCACAACCAACAAATTGTGTTCTAAGAGCACTAGAAAGTAATATGATTAAAAAGACTGAATTACTATGGAAAGGAATATGTACTGGAAGCAAAAAATAATCCGGCATTAGTGGAATGAAAGTAAAGTATTAGTAATAATCATAATCGATCAACAATGCATGAAATAAATGGTAAATTAGACTACCTTTGAGAAGAGAATGAACTCTATACAAACTAATATGTCGCAGGATTAATAATATGCCCTGTTCAGTTATGTTGTAATCTAGAATACATTAATATGTTAGTGATTTTTAATTCAGAAGAGTACAAATGCACTTGCTAGTAATGAACAGGTTTCGACCCACCAATATGAGACATCCTGAACTTCAAGTATACTGTTAAGAGTTTTATTGTGCTCTAAAGATCGAAGAAATATAGGGAAGTAAGTGAAATCTTTACAATTCGATGAAAAAATACTATAGAATTTCCTGTCCCAGATGTATTATGAAGACTGATGACTAACAGATTATCAAACCTAAAGTCAGAGCAAACTTAAATTCATAAGTAAACTATTGAGATAAGTTTAATAAATAAATACCCAGATCCCCCAACTGTTAGCGTCAAAAACATATATGATGAAACATATGGCAACAAAGATATACTAATGATTGTAACAAGCACTGTAGTGACTAAGTTTTTCATATTTATATGGATTAGCAAAACTACCTTCCGGCTGTGAATGAATGAATTTTCTTTAGATCTAGAATATGCAGATGACATAACATAGTCCTGTTAGGTGAAGACGCTGACAAGATGCAGAGTCTTCTGAACACTTTGAGTGGGAATTTGAGAATGTTTGGGATGCGATTTTCACCACCCAAATGTAAATTTTTGCTCCAGGACTGGTCTTCAGCGGTCCACTGCGGCTAACAATAGAGAGTGGAGTCGTTGAGTGTGTTGACCACTTCACTTACCTGGGAAGTAGGATCAACCCCGGTGAGTTAGTTGCCGATGAGATTTCTGCATGGATACAAAAGGCTCGATTGGCTTTTGCCAATTTGCGCCATCTATGGCGCCGCCATGATATCCGTTTGTCTATTAAGGGTCGCGTGTACTGCACAGCAGTCCAGTCTGTTCTACTCTATGGCTGTGAAACATGGCCACTGAAAGTGGAAGATACAAAAAGGCTTCAGGTGTTTGACCACCGTTACCTTCGTAGTATAGGACATATTCCGTCGTATCACCATGTGAGTAATGCAGAAGTCAGGTGTAGAGTTTTAGGGAGAAGAGGTAAGTCAGTTGACGAGGTTATGAACCTTCATCAAAAGAGATGGTTGGGACACGTGTTACATATGCCTAGTCACCGATTGCCTCGTCACACAATGTTGACCGAAGTAAGTCCAGGCTGGAAAAAGTCAGAAAACAGGCGGCCAGACTAAAATATGGCACCAATGTATGAAGTCTCTGACTGTTGGTTTAAGCCATGTAGGACGATTCAGACTAGGTGGTTGGGGTCCACGGGACAAGAGGAACCAGTGGTTGGAGACCCTAGGTGATATGGCTGAGAACCGATGTCAGTGGTGCAGATGTATCCTCACACACATTATCCTCATCTTAACAACGCTATACAGAATCTCACCATTTTGTCACTCCTCTTTTCTTCTTTCTCGTACTTTATATTTCTTTTGATTGTACTCACTTATCTTCATCCTTCACCTCACTACCTTTTTACTTGATGAACTGACGTGAGGTGTGGCAACTCGGACCGTTACGCAGTAATGCCTGGTCCTATGTTGATAATGATGATGACCTTCCGGCTGTTAGGCATCATTAAAGTATCAACCCTTAAAATCGTGAAATAAAAGTCCTGCCGACGATGGCTAGTTTTGAATTTAACTACAGTGGCAACATTAACAACGTATACACTGTCATTATTGATTAAGAGAAGTGCCATCTACATATGAACACATTTTCGAAATGCTAAAGTGCCTTCAGCGAGACACAAGTGTCATAACAAGAGGCATTTTGCTAACACTAAGCTGTATGTTGAGAATTGTTAAAGGAAAATGGTAATAAATATCTTAGCAAACATTTAAAAAAAAAATTCCTTATAACAGCTTTTTTTTTCTCAGGTTTTCTAGCTATGCTGGATGTAAAAGGAATATGTGCATATTGGCAACAACAAAATTTTTATAACACGCATTAATGAAAATGGAAATCGGTACTGTAGTAATAGCTTTACCCAGAGTCTATGCCGATTACTCGAGTTGTTGATTTATTCACATGGATTTTCGCATTGAAAGTGACAATCTAGTTGTGAGCTCTAATTTAGCCTGAATATGGCCTGTTTGTGTGGAATTGAAAGTCCAAACAGCATCCATCTTTAATATTCTATAAGCTTACACTTTATGGGTAGATAGAGCAGTAAAAAAGACCACTGTATCACGTCATAAGATCGCGAGATATTGCAGTTGAATGTTTAAAAACACGGGAAGGTCGGAAGAGTGGGACTACCGTTATTTTTTTTTATAAATGCTAGTATTTAAAGGAAATACTGATTAGTGCTAAAGTAAGGAGTTAAACAGAGGTAGAGTTGTTAACCTACAGAAACAGAGCATATGAAATCTCATGGATACTAGATCACAACAACTAAGTCATTTCATTTAATTTAGACAAAAACTTGGCTTTCTAGTATTAATAAAAGGTCATTTCACAGACGAGAAATGAATGTAGACGTTAATCCATGACTTTTAACCTTATTTTAATGAAAATTTTATTCCGGAAGTTCAATATTAACCTATATTCAGCTAATTCGTTTAAACTTACGCAAAGAACTTCCATAAGCATTAAATATCAACGGTTGTAAGTCAGAGCTTTTAGTGGTAAGGTTTTCTAAGTTCCGTGCTCCAGAAACTAATTGCTCATTCGCATTACAATTACGTGACATTGAAGATGGGTTTCACCGTTTAAAAAAGCCCACAATACCGAAACTCAGATAAGAAGATAGTGATTGAAGCTTGTTGGAGTCTTAGGTACTAACGGACGATGAATACTACGCTCTCATATGTACAAATATGTGGGTATGCGCATTAAAAGGCTGTATAACGATCAAGGAGTGTTTAATTCTCCATCTAAGCAATCGAAGGATGTTCAAGACGTGGTTTAAAACCTTTAGGTGAACGCAATAAAACAAGTATGCAAGGTTTAATTATCTTACCGATATGGAACTTCACCTTCATTGAGCAACTTAAGAGCATTATAGTAAAGAGGCCTTCGTACGTTAAACTGCATCAGTAGTTCCAGCTCTGTTAAGTCTAATTGTTCAGAAGCAGAGAAGTATGAAGATGTGTCCTCCTGAGAAGTTACCAAAGACTCCAGTGATCCTTGACGGTAACTGCCATCGTGAAGCACCAACTGCTGTTTATACTGTTCACGTAAGCGATAAGCATGCTCTAAAAGAAGACGCAGGTCATTGATCAACTGTTCAGAATCAGAGGATGCGATGGATAAACCTTTCTCTTCAAGAACTCTGACTTTAGACATAAGTGACTCAAGGTGTTCAACAACACCAGCCAACGCACGTAGACCTAGTCTTCGGTAATCCAATGCCGAAGAAGAGCTGTCGTCTATATCCGAGTCATTTCCTGCATAAGACTGTGAAGGTCTCCTTGCACTTAAAACTGCTGTCCGTTTTCCACTGATAGTTGAAGTTCTAGAAAGAACAGATCCTGCACTTCGGTTGCTGGAATACTTCGTCTGCGAATAAAAATCAATGGAATGTATTCCAAGCGCTGTAGGGTCATCTATATCACAAACCTCTGAATCAACTGGTGAGTGCTTCACGGAACGCCTTGACTTGAACCACCAGTAAACAATACTTATAACGGCACCACCAACAGCAGCGGATAAGATTACTGACTTGAAAAGCTTCCGTGAAAATAGACGTTTTGGCTCCAAAAGTCGTCAATGTGTAGTAAAGAGGGAAATATGCTAGCCTTTGGCATTTGAAAGAGGATATGAGAACACTTTATATGCTGGTTGGTGGTTTATTTATATGGGATAGGGAGTTTCGAGAAATTACATGATGAAATCTTAAAGGCATGCTGGTGAGCTCAAGGTCAATCGTATCAGTTGAAAAGACCACCAGTTCTGTAACATGACCTATAAAGTTTCCAATGTCTTTTGCCCAAGCTCGTACAAATAAATAACTTCCGAAAAGTAATTCTTATTGTTTTGAACTATTCGCTGCTATTAGGTGAGTAGTGATGCAGTATGTTTAGTCACTGGCATGCTATAAGCCTAGTAAACCCACAGTTCAATCAGATGTTGGTTGTAGAAATAAAGAGCGTCGTGTGGTCAAGGTCTGGAACCCCTTACCTAAACAAGTAGTATCAGTACCTTCTGGAGAAAAACTATATCTCCATAGAGATGCCTTTCGCAATGATTAACATAAGCTAACTCGTCTACTATCTTTATAACTAGAAACTAAAACTGAAGTGCAGATTTAGACTAAAAATTGTAGTTTTGTGATTGATGGCTATGAGCCTATTCCGCCCCTGTCCCACTAACTCTTTATACTCGCCTCTTTCGAAGGATTCGGCTGATGACATGACTCCTGTAAGTTGGTTGTAACAGTTGATTACTCAACCCGGCACAACTTTCGTCTTTTGCCTTTTTACGCTTCTACAATGCCCCCTGATACATTCCAACCTGTTCAAAAGGGAAGCAGGAGACAGATAAGGTCCAAAGTCATCTCTTGAAATACTGCACAGTATTTCGGGAAATGGTCTCGTTTAACCCAACTTTCTCAGAACTCGATGGGGTTTGTCAAGCGAGAGGGACTTCTGCGAAACCAATACTGTGTGCGAGACAATAGAGTATTGCTTTCCCGGTTGACTGTAACGGCTTTCTGGATTACTCGTTCTAGAATCTTCGCTACAGAACTAGTCAAGCTTTTCGGTGTGAAATTTGATGGGTTCTACCTAGAACCTGACTTGTGAGTGGGTATGATCATGTCTTCCTTTCTGTGAAATGCGTGTGTGTATTCACTGAAGGATAGTCTGATTATACAGCAGCCGTTGGGCTAGCTATATAAGGTTTCAGGCGCCTGAATGGCACCAACTGCAGTTTATGAAGTCCCATTGATTCTTCTGTGTCTAAAGTATTCACTGTCCTAAATACATCAGACATCGACAGAGTTTATTCTGCCGTGAGTCAATGTTTCTACTGTGAATCTGCCTCCATTGAAGGTTCCTGAGTAGAGACCTCAACGTAACGTCTGGTCACGGCTTCCGCTTTTTTTATGTGGCATTTAATTAGCCGGCTGAGGACGAGTTGCATGTGCGAAGTCGTGCTGTAAAGCTACCTGCTACTGAGACACGATTCCTAACATCATTGGTATTGTTATCGCTGACCCTTCCCAATCACTAAACTTCTCTTCTTGGCTGCATTTAAGGCCCTCCGGAATACTATAGTGAGTCACGAAATAGAACAATTGAAGCCTTTCACTGTACTTCAAGACCAAATTATGTCTACGAGGTTATTGGGGAGATAGTATCATGCCTGAAGTCCATTAGGGACAGCTTTTTTCTCCACCTTGGTGTGATGGATTCTCGAACACCGAATTCTGTGTACATGAACAAAGTTCCCTGAAACCTACTACGGATAATAATGCTCTGGACCCATTTCTTATTAGGCTAAATCAGTTAAATATTGCGGACTTAACACCAGGGAAGCAGGTGTATAGGCACTAACAGACTGATAATAAAGATATGCTTTCGTTCTGTGCACACGTTAGTCTGTCACTCCCAGGTAGTGACCACGAAACAATTATCTCTTCCTATTACAACGAGTGGGGATGCAGTGTTATACGGCGTTCTCGATGTGGGACAGTCATGCTCCTCCAGGTATCCAGATGGAGAGAATCCACCTAATTTGTCCGCCCCTTAGACTGGGATCCACTCTTGCCATGCAGAGAATTAGAAACTGGTCGAACAGCGCCATTCAAAAGTTTCTCCCTATGGCTTGATCAAATAGTCCTCAGACGCGTAATGAGGCACCAGCGGAGCTTGGAAACCTTATTTCTGGCCGTCTAAAGGCTCAACGTCGTATACTCTGTTCGTAATATTCCGGGGTCAAAAACTTCTCAGAATCCACAAATATCCACATCACCCACACAAAACCACGAGAAAAATGAGATGAAATGTTGCTCAAGGAAGAAACCGTTCCCTTTTCCGATAACTCTTAACCCAGCTTAATCCCTAGGCCTTGTCTCAAAAGACTGGAAGTCTGCAAACTTGACACAACTGTTTAAGAAAGTAAAAGTACTACCAGTAAATCCTGCTGATACCTCAGTCTCCAAATATCTACTTTGCGAACACACACGTGTTTGAAGGATCCAGGAAGATATTGATGGACTTCATTGCCAGACATGGAAAACGAAGCTCGATGCCGTTAGATGTGGAATGAGGTGCTTCAAATTTATCCCACCAGGGTGTCTCACACTACTAGACAAGAAGCCTGTTCCGTTTCAACCATTTATCCCAGATCTAGACTCCATACGCCCACTGGATTTCAGCGTTACAAACTATATTGACTCCTAGATCGCAGAAGTCAGGAACTCCCTTGGTTCTCAGTTGAAACCCTGGGATTCTAGTATCTACAATGCTGCTGTGTAAGTCACATATCCACCCATTAAATGAATTCTGCCCTCCTATTTTAGGCAGCGTTTCGATTGAAGGCGGGTGTAGTGTTGAAGGCGTACACGGACGGTTTATCAAAAGATTGACGATAACCATTTTTGGTATTCTCGAGAGTGTTATCGCCTCTTCTCCCCTCTCCTCAGCCGTTACGACGGCTGTGTTCTCATCTTTGACTGGTATCAAATCGTCGAGAAACAGTAGGGCCCTTTTAGGTAGATTTTCTGTCCATCCAGCATGTAGAAGCGGGTACAGCAGCTATCCTGTGCTCAAGAATGTCTCCGGTGCTGTTTTTTCTAGGAAAATTTTAAACAATATCCTGGTTATCGGCTATCAGATATCGCTTACGGGTGATTGCACACTCAGTAAGCTTTCCATGCAGTCATACCGTGACCGCAGTATTATTTATGAGTTGTTTTTATCGTGTGGAGTGAGGCCAAAGGTCACCTCTAGGTGTTACGGCGTCCCATTCAGAAATATGCGTCTACTATGTTCTGTGTTCGGTTATTTTGAGGCGAAAACAGCAATCACAAATCTTTCTTCTGCAGCTAAAAGCCCTAACTAACCTTCTATGATCTGTTGGTACCGTAACGGAACAAACGATTTGAAAATCCCTCCTGATTACCCCATTTCATAACATTGATATTTATTTCAATATTTTTACCCTTGTTGTGGATATTGTGCCTTTGACCCTACTAATGTAATGATATTTGGTTATTTGACTGTCCTCTTTGACCTTAAACTCATTATTTGTTTGTTTGATTGAGACTTATCATGAGTGCTTCACTTTTCTACTATGTGACTCCAGACTGTTGGCAACGTGACACTGTTTTACTGCGCCCGATATTTAGTTTTGATTCCACTTGCGGTTGTGCTGTGATTTGACTGCCTATCCTCTGACTGGCTACTGGAAACGTTTATTTATTGATTTGGTTCTGATGGACAGAGTTTTCGGCCCCCTTTTGTTGGGAATATTATTGGTTTTCAGGTACGAAACAATTGTATTTGTTTAGCCAATTTTTACTGCATAGCAAGCATTTGTGCCCGAGGACATTTAGACCGTTATTCTACGGCACTGCCGAAGTATTTTTGTAATTTCGATATAGCTTATTGTTGCTTTGATATTACCATCAATTTTGTCGTGAACTTACCACTGATTTACCACAAACCGTGTTTTGATATTTTGTTCCAGCCTGTGTGCGTCACTCGTGGAAGTTTGGGAGCTATACGGCAGAAGGCAGGAACTTGTCAGGTTCGCGTTAGTTGGCACCCCGTAATTGTTTCCCACGTTCGAGCCAAAATAACTGGATTTTAGATGTTACAAGCACCATTCATTCTGAATAACTTCAAGCGCATACTATTGTTTTCAGGTGAATGAATGGTGTGAAACGCGATTCATTGAGTACGACAGTTGCGAAAACTACGCAAACATGAAACGTATTCACATGATATACAGAAAATATGCATTTTTTCACAAAGGAAGCCACAACCCATAACAAACACGATAGCACCTAGGGATTGCATATTAAATTATTTATCTGATACAGCTCACGGTTATTATTGTATTATTGTTGTTGTTGGTTGTGTTTCTTCATCACCTCTGTCTTCCCTACTGATAAGTCACTCACATCTCCAACCAAACCTCTCAGTTGGTGATGCCATCAAATCCGAACTTCCATAAATCATCGGGCGATCATGCAGTCTGGCCCAAACAAACTTAGAAGAGTCGGTTTTACTAGAATATATTCACAGTCACTACCGATGGTAGTCATTTATTTCTTTTTTAAGAGATGCACCACTTTTGCAGTCGTTAACTGGGAATGGATCTGTGCCTTTCTTCACCTGTGCATATTTGCTAGCTTACGCTAATATCGAAATATCTATCGATGGAAATTAGAAAGTGCCTTCACAAGAATAATTATACCATATAATTGTAGTATATGCGTCATCACGCAGATGACGGCGAAGAAGATAATTGAATTTCTGAGGAAGGTAAAAAGATAAACAACATTTTAAGCCGTATTGAAAACGTTAAGTAACATTTTCTTTTAATATGATAACTGGGCATTTAGGACTTTAGACAGCATCTCTAAAAAATCTAGTTTCCGTAAGGATAAGGAAGATATATGAAAGATTATTACGTAAGAGATAAACAGGGAATGAGCTTGAAGCTTATAGGACAACGGATGCGCTCAATTGTGGTTGGTGCAAAGCCCTATGTATGAAAGTAAGGATCATACAAAGATCGTTGTGACAACATAAAGGTGGTGGTCACTGAGGAGAAAACGTCCAATGAAGTTTAAGCGACGCAAAATCTTTTGCGCACGTTTCAAATAGCAACATGAGTTTTACTCCTCCTAACTAAAGTTGCTTCATATTAGGAAATCTTCACTGGAAAAATTCCACCTATCACTACCAGGTTTCGGTGACACCAACATAGATGCACGTATTACACAACTGCATCTTCGGGTAAGTA